CCACCACACCCAGCTCCATTTAAAAAAAAAAAAAAATTTGTTTTTAATTTTATGAGTGTATTGCCTGCATATATGTAAGTGCGCCCATGTCACACAGTGCCTGTGGATGTCAGAAGAGGGCATCAGATCCCTGGAACTGGAGTTACAGACAGTTGTTAGCTGCCATGTGGGTGCTGGGACTCCAACCCAGGTCCTCTGCAAGAGCAGCCGGTGCCCTTGACTGCTGAGCCATCTCTCCAGCCCCCTGCATTTACCTTTTTGATGCATTCAGATATTTTTGGAGCACAGCCATGTGCTGATGCTAAGATGTTATTGTATGACAGGCTTCTAGGGTAGTGCAACACACACACACAGAGACACACACACACAGTACACACTTCACGCACATACCATACTACATACACAGATACATACACACCGTACCACATACACAGATACACACACACACGATTTGCTTGCCCCAGAAAGGGAACCCACCCACGACAGACCAAAGTAACAATTACATCAAAGTCCACCGTGGTGAACCAATGAAAGTTTATTGGAGTTACTAACAGGAGTGTGGCGAGGGGTCACTTACAGGGTCGGGAGTGTGGGTTGACTTACAGGGGCAGGGATGACTCAGAAGGTGCTGCAGCACTGGAAGCCCCCCACCGCCCACCCCCGAGGGTGCTGACTCATGAAGCTTTGGTCCTTCCGCGCTGTGCACAGCTTGCGATGGCCTGACAGGTGGGGGAATATCCTCCCCACTGTTGCCTACTTCTAAAAGCTAGAGAGAATATGAATTATTGAGGGGAAACCAGGATATTTATACTATGGGGGTGGTAGTAAAAAACTTTAGCTGATAGGTACGTTTAGGATGCCCCATTTACATGTGGCTCCTGCCAGCTGCCAGGCTGCCAGGCTGCCTGAAAAATCACACAGGAAAGGCTGGCAGTTTCCAGAGCTGGAGGCCATGTTTCTGTGATGGCTGCTTCAAAAGATGAGTCAGGAAGATGCCAGGAAAGCACCCTGCTGAAAAAGGAGTCTCTGCATTTGAATCTGAGCCCGTGGGCTTTCCGGACATGGAGAAACTGCTACTTTACACAGCAGGAGTCCCCAACATGCCAACTTTATTATTTATCAGTGGCCCTTTATCTATCTGACTGTCCAAAAATATGGCTAGGTTCTAGTCCTCATTGGGGAGTTATTGAGCCTGTTCTGTGTGTCCTGCCTCTTAGTCCAGCTCACTACTTTCTCCTTTTCACTGGTGACTCCTGCAGGCACAGAGCATGTAGGTGTCCCACCTACAGGAGGAGCAAATGGGGGCCTGCTAAGAAACTGAGGGCTGGCCAGGAGACAGAAGTAACCCCAGTTCCTCAGGGAGAAGGAAGCAGTGACCAGCTCCCCACATCTAGCCCCCCACATCTCACTCAGCAGTAAAGTAGGAAGAACTGTAGACTTCATTGATTCCTTAGTTGACACATTAACTGGTACACTGTGATGTCACTGGATGCTAATCCTTGCATCTCAAATGTCAGGGCATCCTAAAGGTTTTTTCTAAGGACATCATAAAAGCTCATCCCTCAGATGTCCTAAGCCAGTCTCTTGCCTCCAAGAGAGCAGTCCAAGGCACCATGGAGAACTGCTTCCCAAAACAGCATTTCTATACTTTCTCTTAACCTGAGGCCTTAAAAAAACGCTCCCAGGGCCGGGTGTGGTGGCACATACCTTAAATCCCAGCACTCAGGAGGCAGGTGGATCTCTGTGATCCAGAAGACAAAAAAGAAAAAAGAAAAAAAAAGCACCCCCTGCTTCCCTGCACTCCTGCCAGT